CAAAACTCAACTTTGACATCATCATGTAGTACATCATCTCTCTTGAAAAATTCAAGGGAATTTTGCCCTTTTGCTTTCAGTGCATACTTCACTGTCTCTACAGCTGAGAAAGTTTCAATTGCCATTCTCCCTGATTTATTGTCAATGACATCCCCCATCATGCTAAAGCTGCTTTCAACTTGTGGTCCATGGAAACAGAGGAGAGAACAGCTTTCACAACTTTGGATAGGGCTGGGTATTTCTGATTGTCAAATACAGTAGACCACCACTTGTCAATTCTGAAACATTTCTCTTCAGAGTCCAGTGCAGGTAACAGATTTTGATCAACTTGAATGTTTCTTATTTCTGAGTCAAAGTAGGTCTGCTCTTCTTCATTTAACTCTGGTACCACTTGAGGCAGGTTTCTCATTCTTTTCATAGTCACATGATGACCAAATGCAGTGGGATCAATGGCAGAAAATGATTTCAGAGTGGGACTGTTTAATGGCAATTTTGTTTGCATCACCTTTGCACACTCAATGTACCCTCTCTTCACAAGTTCTAAGTCAACTGGCGAACTGGACTGTCTTGTCATATTTGTCGCTTTTCTCCCCAGAAAAAGATCTTTATTTGAGAGAGTAACCTCATCTGTGAAGAGCATTTCTTTCAGTTCCTTTGGTGACTTGTGTGTATGTTCAGGCTTCATAAAGCACACAAGAAATTCCTTGAACAGCCTAAGCTGTTCATCATGAAGTTTGTGAATGAGAGGGGCTTTTAGTTCAAACAGACACACATACCGCTTCAGCAATGGCATCACAGCTGCATACAAATTAGTAAGGAATGTTGTATTTGTCTTCTGGATGAAAATCTTCTGATTTATTCTCTGCTTACGCTTCTTTCCATCCTCAGTCATTGATTTTGTAGATATTCCGGACTGAATTTCTCTTAGACGTTGTCGAGAGATTGGATTTACCTCCCTATTCTGATACACAGCTACCAATGTTGACAGGTACAATGTCTTGTCGCTCTTGGGCAGAAAGTCATAATACAAGACCAAAAATGCATCTAACAAATGCATGTTGCCAACAGATGCATCATATGAGGAGAGCCATCTGTGAGAGACAAACTTTTGTGGAGCAGTGTATGTTATCCCTAGAATCAAACAGATTTCTCTCAAAGCTTCCTTCAAATCTGCACTCCACATGAAATCATTTTGTATGTCTGTGAACAGTCCCTCAAGATATCTGTCAAAGGGCTTCCAGAATGCTTTTGCAGCGTTATGTATGTGGTGACACGAATCTCCATGAGGTGCCTTGTCTTGTCTTATCCGTACCTCTACACCATTTTTACAGCCTCTCATAACATAGCACGAGTCCATCGGAACTGACACAAGATTTTCCCAGGGAATGTTTTTGCTCGTGAATATATTGTCAATAGCCTTGAATATGCTTTCGCTGTCCACTTTTACAAGACTCACTGAGCTTAAATGTTCTACAACAACCTCCTTCCTTGATTCGTGGAAATAACTAACAAGCATTGTCAGCACTCTAAGATGGTTATCACTAGTTGCTTCATCAATGTTTAATGAAAAGAAAGTGTCCCTTATATTGTGTGTTGTCTCATCATCAAAACTCTTTGCCAGGCCATACGTTGTTTTGTAGGATGTTGATGTTCTGTCCATAGTCAGACCTGCCAAAGACTTTGGATCCTTAGAAAATTCCTTGCAAACATCGATGATAGTTGGTCCCATGTGAAAGGCAAGATTATTCTCTGCAACAACGCCCAGAACAATGTTCTGAAATATAGAAAAAAAAGGAAATAAATATTTTATCAATGTCATCTTACTAGACTATCATAATCATATCTACTTTGAAAATAAAACAAAAACTTGAATACCGGTATTTAACTAACTTCAGTTAATATATAATATATGTGACAATAAAACATCTAATTACAATAAAACAAAAAAACAGAATTAAATAATTAATTTGATTAGCCTAAATAATTTCCATAATTTTAAATTAAATTCTAGGCCTATTCATAATTACTCTACCTGCATGGTTGCAATTCGATCAACAACAGGAACAACAGGTTTCGTCTCATTGACCGGCGTTGAGGAACTGCTGTTTTTCGGGTTTCTGGCCATAAGTATTGTCATCTTGGGATTTGAATCCACCACCAAACACTGACGATAGCGAATAGTTAGTCAAACGGCACTGTGCAGCCTTCGTGTGTTTTGAACTTTGACAATGACGAACGAAGCTTGTGAATCCCCTCCCCCCGTAGTTAATTTCTTCATTACACCAAAGACAGCGTGCTTTTCCCGGCAGTTCAATTTTACGCATAAACTCACTCAAGCAAATCTTTTTCCCGCTATCCTTCGTCAAATCGACTTCCCTTTCAAGCCAGTCCCATCTCCATTTATTTTTAGATCCACTGTCTATCTCTCGCGCACGTGATTCGTCAGTTCTGTTGATTGTTGACATCGTACTATGAATAGATAAAAATGGCGACAGTTCCGAAGCGATGACCTTGTGACGAGAATAACCGACATTTTTTTACCAATCAGAATGCCGTTATAGCTGATCATGGAAACAGTCGATCTGAACCGAATCATGCCATGTGAAGCGAAAGCCAATCGGATTACCGAAGAATTTTTCCGCCAAAGACGTCATGAGCTTGGCGTAGGATACCGAAGGGTATTCCCATTGAAGCAAAAGCTATTTGCTTGAGTTACGTCTGTTTTCATTAGTTTCCATACGGCGATAATTTTTGTTTGAATAATTTCTCTCGTGGCTTTTTTTTTGGTTTGTAGTCGAATTTATAAAAAATAAAAAATTGCTTTAGGTCGATTGGCGGAAAAATCTCATGTCTGCATAAGTTCAAGGGTAACGTGGCACCGGTGAAACCCGTCATTACTGCATCGCAGTTCAGGTTATTATTATTAGGGTTTCACACTGCGTAGCTTGTGTGAAACACTATTGTTTTTGTTCGGATTATTCTTCTTCTTATTATTTTTTTTTTTTTTCCACTTGAGCATATCTGAGAAACTAATTGTCGGATCGATTCGATGTCTTCGTTTTTCCTGGGAAAGTGGGTGTGATTAGAGATTAAAGCTATTTTGAAATGTCCGAAATCGCCGAAGTTGTCACTTTTTGAAATATTGCCGTAATATTAACAATAATCGTTGGATTTTGACATTTGACACATTTTGACAAAGCCAGAGAAAAGGCAGATAGCTACAATTGCTTAGATTTTTGATTTTCGATGAATCTTCGGAGATATTAGGCGCCAAATTTTTATTAATGAATATTTTATTATGGCATTTTACCCAGGGTTAAAGGGTCGTCTGATCTGAGCAAAAATGTGAACATTTTTTGTCTGGATAATTTTTTTGGGCCGCTATTGGCTAATTCAGTTTATCGGTTCTAGGTTAATTATTTATTGCCCGATTTTTATAAAACAAATTCATATGCTCCATGGTGCAAATTCTCAACTTTTTATTACTGGTAAAGTTTTCTATCGGCACGGGATGTGACGCAATTTGGTAAAAACTCCAATTTTGACGAGTCGGAACGTCTTTTCACTTGGAAATGTTAATTTTTACAAATCTGATAGATCAAGATAAATGCCCCTACAAAAGGCGCAAAAAATCTTGCACTCGTTTTTTTTAATTTCGGTTTTGTATTTGCGCCATTTCGATTTTTACTTTTTTCGGTAATGAAACATTTATAATACACTAAAATCTGATTAAGAGCAACAACTCACGAAGTAATTATCAGAAAACTATTAGAATTTGTTTGGTTTTTATAAAGTTCTGCCCCATGCTAACGTTTTGTATGCAAAGCTTTTAATATCATGGATTTAACTGTTCAAGTCATAAAAATTCATTGAAAATCAATATACTTGTTCGTCTCAAGATCTTAAACTCTGTGTATCAATCTGAAGTCAATCAGATTATAACTTTAGCCTTTAGAGCATCACAAGATTTTGCAAAGTGATCAAGGGCCATAACTTTGGCAGTAGTTATCGGAAATCGTTGAAAATCAATAGGAATCTTCGTCTCATGACCTTTAGAGCATCACAAGATTTTGCAAAGTGATCAAGGGCCATAACTCTGGCAGTAATTATCGGAATTCGTTGAAAATCAAGTTATTAACAAATTTTGTCCGGATCACTTTTTTGACATATGTAACACATGGTAACAAATGTATGAATGGAATTGATATTGCCTGCGTCCATATTTAGCACGTCTACAATGTTTATATGGAAATCTGTTTATCGGTTCTATTGGTACTTGAAGTGATGTGAGTTCGAGGGTAACGTGGCACCGAAAGTGACATAAGTTCAAGGGTAACGTGGCACCAGTGAAACCTGTCATTACTGCTTCGCAGTTCTAGTTTGGATTGAAATTACTATGAAAAAGACATCACTTATTTTAATATGTTGTTTATATTTGGTGACATAAATATAGATCTGTTACCAACTGTTAAAAAAGTTCACAGCCCACCGATTTATACGTAAGGTATTTATGGGCACGGCATTGTTGGCACATTCACTGACATCTTGTCTCTCAAAATTGAAAAGGGTTAATCATTTGTTTCTTCCTTCCAATCCAAAATATTCAAGTACATTAAATCCTTGTTAAATATTTTCTGCATAAATTCTGCACTTTGACTAGCTTTAAATAATTCTTTGTCAGAATGTAGTTTTCTTTTTTAACCATATTTTCTACAAACTGACTTGCTCGGATCAGTTTGTCGTCCGAATCGTTTGACAACATTGCACAAAATAAACGCCATTTTGTGAACAAGTGGTTACTAAAATGTAATGCACATGCAAATTACAGCTTGTTCTCTTAATTTTGTCATATCAGCCATATTCCACATTGAACGAATTTGGGGAGGTTTCCTAGAATAGGCCGTGTCTGCCTTCCGTGTTCTATCTTCCCTAATTGGGCAGTGTATGCATATCAAAAAAGAAGAATACAGTTTTATACAACTAAGAGAATCTGCACTTACTTCTAGCATATTTCTATCAACATCTTTAGGTAAAATGAAGTTAGTAACTTTCAATCTATCATATTCATACATCTACAATATAAACATACCTATTGTTAACGCTCCTAATATTACTATCACAAAAACTGAGTCAATGTAGACAACGGGAGAATCTCATACTTTTTGATATCACAAATACATGAACACATGTTGATAAATAGCACAAATAGCTGATTGCCTATGCCTGTCTTCAAAACACTGAGAACTACTAAGAAGTCGATCTGTACGCAGCCCTTATATAAATCTCTGTTTGGCTTGTTATTTGTACGTCTATCACTGTCTGAGAGGTGAGTTAATTAACACTAGGGGTGAAAAACTGTGCGATGGTGCGTTTTGTGTAGAGGTGTCTTAATCAACCGACCGGTAAAAAATTAATGTCAATGGTGTGTATTGTTAAATTGGCGTGTTTTCTCGCTAGTTGCGATAACTGCACGAAAAGGAGTATAATCAAGGACCAATAGGCTTTATCTGACACGTATGTGTTAAATCAAAATTTGGGAAGTAAAACTGTTTTACCGTGCGATTTATCATTCGACCGTGTGTTTATATCTATAAAACAGAAATCTCCATATTGATAAATACTACGACACAACCAACCGAACAGTAGTAATTCCCACACAAATGATATTTTTAAACTAAAATTACTTTAGCTTTTCACTAAATGTACATCGCATACAATCCAACAATCATTCCAGAACATGTAACTTATAATAGCCGTTTTTTATGCAATTACAGAATTGTACCGTGATATAACATATCAAAGAAACATATACGCCCGAATTGTCACGTAATCATTTTTCGTGGCTTGTATTCTATTGTTACGACTATACCTGGCGTTTATACTGCGTACCATATCGTCACGCTAGTTATAGATGAAGTTGCATTTAATAAAAATAAAAATATTGACCTTAATCTATCGCACGAAATGCAATGTCGTCATTTATAGATATCGAACAGGTAGGCCCCAATTTGAATATCCCCGGGTATATAGCGAATAAGCCAAATTTGCCGTATGTAAATATACTGATTCTCGTAAATATACTGATTCTCGTAAATAGTAAATATACTTCTCGTAAATAGTAAATATACTTCTCGTAAATATACTTAATCTCATCTTCCGACAAGTTATTATTTGTGTCTTCAAATTTGTACTATATAACCGGATTGCCATTTCAGACTTTGTGTCTCACCGTTTCACCCATAGTCCGTGCATAGCACGGTGTCGGCAGTCTCCTTGATCAAGTAACAATTCTATTTATACATGTAAAGGCATGCACAAGCTTATTCACACGTATTGGAAAACTGTTCTGTTGCTTTATTTGTGAAGATACTGACGTCGGCACCCAATTTGAATATCCACGGGAATATAGAGAGTAAATCCAGCAAAAGATACTGATATTAAACTATAAAATTTGTCAATTTTTTCTTTGAAAATTCTGATAAATCGGTAGCTTTTCGGGAAGTGTTGATCATATCGCGTACACTGTTTGTGTATTGCATGTTTTTTTTATAATAGCTGAAAGAACATATAGCTCGTTAAATAGATGAACAGCCCAACGAAGATTCGAAACAAATAGCATTGTAAATTTATGCAAAAATACATTACACTGTTCCCCAATCCAACTTGATTTGATTAAACTTCACATTTCATTTATACCTTAGACAATTACGTTTCCAACTGGTACAGAGTAGTAATTCAAATTTATTATCATTATCGGAGAGATGTTTTTGCAAATAAAGGGGAAAAAGCAATATTAATACTATAAATCGAAATTTTGTTACTGTTATACATATATAAAAGGACAATGTTGGTGCCAGTCATTATCACATATGTGATAGAACTTGTTAAAAACGCTCCAAATATTATTTTATCACAGAGATCATTGCTACGATAGATGCGTATAATCAATGTTTCAACAATCGGAAGTGACGAACGCAAAAGGAAAACACGATTTATCCCTCTATATAACTGACTGGTGTGACGAGTGATAACAGATGCATGGGCGATATTGATACACTATATATTATTATAGTGCGCCCTTCCATGTAACTTAATCGTTTAGGGACACTTTACAAAGTGACAATTTAATCATATTAAAAAAAATCAAGATTATGGACATGTAGCACTGAGAAGTAGTAAGAGTGTTATTTGTACGTTTAGGGCATAGATATCTCCCGATTTGGTAAATTTCTATGAATATCGGTAAAATTCTAATTATCGCAACAAATCTAATACGAAGAGGCTGAAATCTGTAGGTACGGTGTGTTAATTAACAAGGGTGAGAAATTGACTGAGTGGTGATATAATTATCGCTAGGGGTGAAAATCTCGGCGACAGTGCGTTTTCTGTACCGGTGTGTTAATTAACGAACGGGTTAAAAACGACTGATACGGTGTGTATTCTTTGTTTGGTGAGTTTTCTCGAAAACGTGTTATAACTGCACCAAAGGTGTTTTATCTGACGCGTAGGTGATAAATCTAATTTACCGTGCGATTTCTTGTTCGACCGTGAGTTTTACGCAGATCGGTCTTTGTTAAGTGTAGGTCTTTATACATGGATTTATAAGTGCTGTAGTTACATATGTTCGTTCTTATACGTATTTCATTTCTTGATGAATACTACGTGTTTTATACTTCGTACCATAGTCGGGCAGCAATTTTTTATATATGTCTTTTTTGTGGGTTTAATTTGTTTATATATTATCGTGCGTACCACTGAAGTATAAATGCACATTATTTACCGATATCCGGACCAGCCTCCATTGATATCAGACTAACGAATCTGTTTCGAAAAGCAAGTTTATAAATATAAAATCAAGCAATTGATGAAAAACTATTGGTGTCGTCATGTCTATATTTACTACACGTGGGCGTTTTAATGCATAAATGTATTGTTTCTTACCTGGGTTGTAAAAAGGACTATCCAAGAAAAATTTAATTTCCACATATATACTATTCAAAAAAAGTAGGGGATATTTGATTTTGGGGGCATAATACTAAAATATGCAAATGACTACGAAAAAAGTCACTATAGAACCTAACAGAAGAAACATTTCCAGTTACATGTGACGCCCAAACGCACCAATAGCTACCGCATGGAATGCAGGTGATGCTTGGGATCATCATGGGGGTCCAACCCAAGATTTGCACGACTCTGACTTTGAATGTTACAGACATTGTGGCATTGAATTCCAGGGTGGAAACATCAGTTTAATTGTTTTAGTGACCAGAAAACAAATTTTGATATGCGTCGGCTTACCCAAAATGAAAGGTTACGTGCCCTTGGCATGCTACAGATCGGCACAACACAGGCGGTTGTGGCGCGGACGATGAATGTTTCTCAGTCTGTCATAAGCAGGCTATGGTCCAGATACCGTGATACACAATCTGTACAGGACAGACCACGCTCAGGTCGACAACTCAAGCCCAGGATCGATTTATCCGTACCTTGGCCTTGAGAAATCGTGTCATCACAGCAAATCAGATCAGCGCTCGTCTTCAAACAGACACTGGTGTGAGAGTGAGTGGCCAGACGATTCGGAATCGACTGCATAGGGGTCACCTTTGCGCCCGACGTCCTCGCGTGATCCCTTGTTTGAGAGATCATCACATTCAGGCAAGACGTCGTTGGTGTAGGGATCGTCAACACTGGGATAATCGACGCTGGAGCAATGTGATGTTTTCAGATGAGTCAAGGTTCACTGTTGATTTTTTGGACAGACGTAGGAGGGTGTGGCGTCGTCGAAACGAGCGCTTCCAAGACGTTAACCTCATCAGACATGATCGATTTGGGGGTGGTTCTGTTATGGTGTGGGGAGGCATCACTGTTGCTGGAAGAACGGCTTTACATGTTGTTGCAGGGCGTGTTACAGGCCAGTACTACCGGGACAACATCTTGGCAGTCCATGTTGTGCCGTTCGCACGACGTCATGGCCGCCGTTTCATCTTCCAGGATGACAACGCAAGATGTCACAGGGCCAGGATCGTTACAGGTTACCTCCAACAACAGAACATCACCACATTACCTTGGCCAGCACTGAGTCCCGACCTCTCCCCCATTGCGCATGTCTGGGACATGCTTGGACAGAGGTTACGTCAACGTCAACAACGTCCTGCCAATGTCCAAGAACTTGCTGCTGCATTGCAACAGGAATGGGACAATCTGGACCAAAATGACCTTAGACGTCTCATTAGGAGTATGCCACGTCGGATCAATGCTTGTTTGGCAAACAGAGGAGGATTTACCCGTTATTGACTTGGTTGTGATGCTGTGGTAACTTTGCTGTTTGACCCCGGGTATCATTTTACCCTTATAATGGTCAGTCTGTGCCTTACTTAGTCTAACGATCATTTGGAATAAATCGATGAATGTGAACTTCATTTCATTTTGTCATTTGTTTCTTCGTCAGTTTCATTAGGTGACTTTAATAACACTTAAAAACCAAATATCCCCTACTTTTTTTGAATAGTATATAACAAATGATAATTCACATATCAAATAACACTAATGCAAATAGGGACATGCGCCTGCGGTGATATTGTCCATTGACCTTTGACTTAATATGTAAATAGAGGCTTTACAAGAACAGCTAAATTTAAACACTTGTTAATATTTCTATTGCTTACGATTGTATGAAATAGCTTTATTATTTTTCTCCCAGTACTAATAAACTACGGGTCGAGTGGATCCAATTTTTATTATGTGATTTTTCAACGTGATGACAGATCGAGAGCACAGGCTCCATGTGTCTATTTATAAAAGCATGCAATCGCCTTTGGGAATCAGTTAGCTTCCAGTCTAAAACGACTTTAAAATCTCTTTTGTTATTTCGGTCGCTTTATTTGAAAAGAGTTTCATAATATGCCGTAGTAATTTATGATTTTGTTTTTATTGTTAATTCTGTTTAATTGTGAACATTTCGAAATCTAAATATTTAATATTTATTCTTGGGTTCGGGTTTAGAATAGTGTTATAGCATGTTTTATTTGTTAAAGATCTGTTAATTCTGAAACAACAATTTATTGCTGTAGTG